TTAGTTATATAGTATGAATATGGAACTAAATGTGACTCTTTGCTTTGTATGAAATAGTCCAACGTTACTTAGAAGTTTTGTTTTGTATAGTTTATATAGCTTCTTGCATTCACTCATGATAAAAGCTCATGAGGGATAATAAAGACATATGAAATTGATGAAATTATAATAATATGGTATCTAATTTAATTTAAGAGTCTTATATTAATATTTATTATTTGTGATTAAGTTTAATATTTATTTAATATTAAATAATTAATTTAATTTATACTATTATAAAAACTTAAACTTGCTGGTTTTAAAAAATCCGGGCCAATTCGCCGTTTTACTGGTTGAACTGGCGATTCTTTCCAAAACCGGCTATTTTAGATCAAAGCCGGTTTTCAGATGGGACCGGACCGGCCCTCAGATCAATTCACGGTGGAACCGGTCGGACCACCCGGTTCGGTCCGATTTTTAATGCACTAATCATAATATTTGATTAAATTTTTTATAAGGATAAAATTTAATTATTTAAATCTATTTTAATTTTAGGATCGATAGGAAACAATTTTTTTATGACTTTGACTGCGAACATTGCTTTATAAATAAGTTAAAGAGGAAATTAAATTATGCAAATAAATATATTTTTAGCATGGAAGGAGTATTTAAATTTTAATTACATTAAATATAAATAAATTTAAAACAATGAAAAGACTAGCAATCAATACACAAGCAGCCAGCACTACTCTGTCTAATTCAGATAGCGCCAAATAAAAAAAATTAAATATCTCCCTTTTTAAGAAGAAGCACCAAAAAGGCTATTTGGCTACAAGTAGATGTAAGGATTCAAAAAATCCAGCAAATTTAGAATTGACACATTCTGAGAGGTTCAAAATTTGAAAATAATTTGAGTATTTATTACATACAAATCAATTAATTATATGAATGATGAAATTTAATACAATTTATATTTAATATGCAATAAAATTAAATTAAAATTCACCAAAATGATAAAATTTAAATCTAAATTTCGTCTGTTAAATTTAAATTAAATGTCACTCAAATTTTGTCTCAAACAGAGTCAACATATAAAAAGAAAGAACAGAGTAATCTTTCACATGGAAGATAAACAAAATTATTATTTTTCTTTCTTAGATACTCTCAATATAAATATGCGCATGTTTTTCTTTTTTTCCTTGAAAAAAGGAGATTTTTGTTTTTAAATTGATCTGATAGCATTGAAGAGAACAAGTCTTTACCATTCAAAAAGTTAACAAAAATGAGGAAAAAAAAAAACCAGTTTTACATTGAACAAAAAAGCAATTTTGACCTTCAAGTTACAAGAAGAGCCATTAAATCCTAGAGTTTTCCAACAAGTTGCAATCTATTATCACATCAAGAGAAAAAAAAAAAAAGAGAGAAAAAAGAAGATATATCATACAAGAAAAGTGAAGGAACAGGGAGAGTCTGTATTAGGGCAACACAGAATCCTTACAAGAGAAGTGAAGAACGATCCTATGAATTTGTCTCCAACAAGTCAAAACCACCTATCTCCAAGATCGAATCTTTAGTAGTTCCAGACCCCCCAAACCCTCTCCCCAATAAAGCTCACAAGCCTCCTCACCGAGCTCCGGCCATCGCCGCCATCGCCGGTGACCTCCACAATCCTATCGTAATCCTCATCTTCTTCCTCTCCCACATTATCATCATATCCCTCATCATCCCCATCATCATCATCCACCCGATTACTCACCTCCAGTGCGGCGGACGAAGCTGACGGAACACTTTCCTCTCCGGGATCCTTGTGGCGGTTGCCTCGGCGGCGACGTCGGCGGCGGGCAGAGGGAATAGATTGAGATTCCAGAGATTCTTCGACGGCATCGAGGATGTGATGGATTAGGTGGTGGTTGGGGGAGGCGTTCCAGCGAGCCCAGAAACTTTTGTAGCAGCCGAAGCAGCCGCAGCCGAGCTCCGGCGGGTGGCTCTTCCGTTGTTGGTGAGGAGATTGTTGGGGCTTATTCTTTCCTGAAGCTATATCGGTGGGAAATCCCGTGGCCCCGTCGGAAAGGAGGTAGACGAGGACTTCTTTCTCCTCGGGCGAGAGGGCGGCGGCGAGGGTGAGGAGAGCAGCGGGAAGGGCGGCGAGGAAGTCCCAGGGAGAGGAAGGAGGAGGCGAAGGATGGATTCTCTTGCCTTTTCCATTGTAAAGCTTCTTCATCAATTTCTCTCTCTTTCTCACTCTTTCTCACTCTTCTCCTACTTGTGGAAGCAGAGTTTATTAATGGGATGAGTCCTGGTTGGGAAGGGCTCCAGATAAGAGTTTATATATCTTATTAGTAAAATCCAACTAACCAAGCAGCATCTAAAGGATGATATTTTTTTTATTTTTATTTTAAATGCTTTTTGGGATAATGTGAAATTTAGAATTTTAAATATTTTTATTGTATCATATATTTGTATTTGTAATAATATATATATTTTGACATTTATATGGGAGTGTTTAACTATTCGAACATTGAATTATTAAAGCTAATTTGTGATATTTGAATACTGAACTTTATTTATTAGCATAAATTTTATGATTATCTGTTCATTTGTGTAAGCTAAATTTGATATTTATATCAATTCTTAAAATTTAAATTAATAAAAAAATTAAATCTTTTATAAATAGCCATTAAATTTTTTTATTTTAGGGAGATAATTTTGTATGAACTAATAAATTAAATGCTATTTTTTGGGGTAAATTTATGATCATTTTATAAAAAGGAGGGTCTTTTGAATTTAAATTGGTTTAAAAAAAATTAAAAAGGAGCGAACACGGAACTCAATTATCCGGTTTCTATTGACATGGTTACTGCATCTTCCACTAAACCCAAATCATTAACACGAGCTGGAGCAGAGCCCATCGGCGTACAGCAAACCCGTTATCCACCTTCTCCTGCCATCTGACTACTTTATAACTGTCAAGGGGCAATGATGTAATTGCACCAAGTAACTCTTTCACTTATTTATACTAGTGTAATGAAATTAGTTAATGTAATGAAATCATCCATTTCACTGTTCATCTTCTTCCTGCTTTACTTCGTGTTGGTGCTCTTCGGTCTGTTTGATCTCTTCTTGGTATCAGAGCTGATTGCCTAACGGCTCCTCCGCTCCATGGCTGACTCAACAACCTCCGCTCCCAGCACTCCCTCAGGTGCAGCGGTCACAGCCGATCTTCCCGCAACCTCCACAGACGTTGTGATCCCTGCAACTCTCAAGTTTCTCTTAGCAAATATTAAGAACGTAATAAACGTTCAGCTCTCACCAGAAAACTATCCAACATGGAGATCAGCGATCTACAAATTGTTCGCTGCAAATCATTTTTCCGGTTATCTCGACGGAACCATTCTACCTCCACCCAAACACCTTCTTACAGCCTCTGGTCAGCTCTCTCTCAACCCTCAACACTCCACTTGGACCTTAATAGACCAAAATCTCTCCGTTGCTCTATTCTCTACGATCTCTCCACCTATTCTTCCCTACATTCTCACATTGGATACCTCTGCTTCCATTTGGAAGACACTAGAGCAACGATTTTTCTCTACTAATCGCTCTAGAGTTATACAACTCAAGAATGAGCTACAATCCCTCTCCATGTTAAACAAGACCATGACAGACTACCTGGCGTCCGTCAAAACCACGGTAGACAACATTCGAGCTGCTGGAGGAACCGTGGACAATGAAGACATTCTTCATCATATCCTTAATGGCCTTCCGCCATCTTATCAGTCTTTTAAAACCACCATTCACAGCTCTCTGCATCCCATTTCATTGGATGAGTTATATTCTCTCCTTCGAAGTGAAGAGGTTCATCAAACCACAGATGCTCTCCGTGAACTTTCATTTTCTACAACATCTCCTTCAGACGGACAAGTTGCTCTGTTTTCCAATCAAGGGAGATCTCGCGGACGCTCCTCCTCTAACCGTGGTCGTGGTCGCTTCTTCTCCTCCAATGTACCTCGAACTGCATCACGCACTCCATGCTTTGATGGTGAATGCCAAATTTGTGGCAAACGTGGCCACTCGGCCACCAACTGCTGGCACCGTGGAAACTTCAATTATACTCCGTCTTCCACCTCCAGCGTTGCTCTGGTTGCTGAATCTGATTCTTCTCCATGGTACCTAGACAGCGGAGCATCAGCACATCTGACACCGGATCCTCTTCCCCTTCAGCAATCCACCCCCTACATTGGCCGAGACCAAGTCCTTGTTGGCAATGTTAATCCACTTCCTATCCAGAATGTTGGTAATGGTCTTCTTCCCACACCTACCCGTAAGCTCGCTCTTACTCTATTTCACGTACCACGTTTATCACATCGTTTAATCTCCATTTCCAAACTCACCAATGACAACAATTGCTCTATCATTTTTGTCAAATTCGGTTTTCGTGTTAAGGATACGAGGACCAATCAGTCTCTACTCCGCGGACGATGCCTTAATGGCTTATATCTTATTCCTTCCCAACCATCAATCGTCGCAGCTTCAACTACCGTTGCTCCGTCTTCTACATCTATCACTTGGCATCGCCGACTTGGACACCCAAATATCAAGACTATGACTGCATTAGCTAAAGCTTTTCCCTCACTTCATGTTACGTCTTTACGCTCTTTATGTAATTCCTGTGAACTTGCGAAGAGTCACAGGCTTCCCTTTTCTCCATCTAAACATGTATCTAAATTTCCCCTAGAATTAATACATATGGATGTTTGGGGTCCATCCCCTGTTCTTTCTTACGATGGTTTTCGCTACTTTCTTATTTTCATTGATGATCATACCAAATACACCTGGCTATTCTTACTTAAACAAAAATCCGACGTTGCTCTCTGTTTAATACGCTTTCTAACGTCAATCGAAAAACAGCTAAATCATACCGTTCGCACACTGCGTAGTGATGGCGGCGGTGAATTTAAAAATAAAATAATACAGGACTTCACTGCATAGCGTGGCATTACACACCAAATAACTTGTTCTTACACTCCACAGCAAAACGGAGTCTCTGAACGAAAGAATCGGCATCTCCTAGAAACCGCAAGAGCTCTTCTAATTGATGCTAATTTACCTTCTTCATTTTGGTCGGATGCCGTCCTCACCGCAGCTTTTCTCATTAATAGATTACCATCCACAAATACCTTCTCTAAATCTCCATATCACCTTCTATATCAAACTCCACCTGATTATTCATCTCTTCATACCTTTGGCTGTCGGTGTTTCCCCTGGACCAAACCACTCTCCCCTCACAAACTAGCTCCCCGATCTATACCCTGTATTTTTCTTGGTTACACCCTCAATCAAAAAGGATTCAAATGTTTTTATCCTATCACTCAAACAACGATTTCCTCTCGCCATGTCAAATTCGATGATTCTATCTTTCCGTCTATATCTTCACTACCCACAGCCCCACCTCCTTCCTCCACTGCTCTACCCTTCTTCCCTCCAATTTCAAATTCAAATCTTTCTTCTTTACCCTCGTCTACCTCCTCCACCACCTTTTCTATTCCTACCATCTCTTCATCTCCAACCAATATTTCCACTAGTCCTACCACCTCCTCGTCAACTACTACCAAACCTCCTCTTCAACCACCTCCCCATCATATGGTCACTCGAGCTCAAACTGGCCACCTTAAACCTCGTATCATTTTTGATCTCTCCCATACCTTACTTTCTACTCCTTCCTGCTTTACCAGTGCCAACAAGTACCCCAATTGGCGCAAGGCCATGTCTACGGAATTTCATGCTCTTCAGACACAAGGCACATGGTCTCTCGTGCCACCTCCAGCGAATCATCAAGTTATCGGCTGTAAATGGATCAACAAGTTAAAATTTCTTGCAGACGGCTCCATTGCTCGCTACAAAGCGCGCTTAGTTGCGCAAGGCTTCAAACAACAGTATGGTGTCGACTACCTTGAGACCTTTAGTCCGGTTGTTAAATTTGCAACCATCCGAATGTTTCTTGTAGTCGCTCTTCACCACGACTGGCCAATTCATCAGCTAGATGTGATGAATGCATTTCTCCATGGCAAGCTCGATCAACCCGTCTACATGTCTCAACCACAAGGTTTCGAAGATAAAACCTTCCCAGATCATGTCTGCTTGCTACATAAAGCCATCTACGGCCTTAAATAGGCCCCTCTGCTCTGGTTTGCTACCTTGAGTACTTATCTCAAAAACCAGAATTTTCTCATCAGTTCGGCAGATCCTTCCTTCTTTCATTATCACAAGGATCATCTTCACATATATATTCTGGTATATGTTGATGACATTCTCATCACCGGCAATGATTCCTCTTCCATTACTTATTTGATTTTAAATCTTCAATAGAAATTTCAAACTAGGAATCTTGGGCATCTTTCCAAATTCCTTGGCATTGAGTTTCGTCGTTCTACGGCCGGTTATCATCTTCATCAGCACTCATACATTCAGGATCTTCTACACACGGCCTCAATGACCAATTGTAAACCTCTTCTTACAGCTCTACCATCTAAGTATCCTGTTGATAAAACTCTTCAGCTCCCGTTTGGACAACCAGATCTCTTTCGTAAACTCGCTGGCTCACTACAGTACCTCACATCGACACGGCCGGATATAGCTTTTGCTGTCAACAAGTTGTGCCAACATATGCACAATCCCCTTCTGGTTCATTTTCAACTGCTTAAACGCGTCCTGCGTTATTTAAAAGGTACCTCACATCATGGTCTCTTTCTTCCCAAAACGGACCTGTCTCTCTCTGCCTACTCTGACTCTGACTGGGCGGGTGACCAACTCGATCGCAAATCAACTACTGGCTACTGCATCTTCCTAGGATTAGCTCTTCTTTCCTGGTCCGTTAAAAAGCAGACGACAGTTGCCCGCTCATTTACTGAAGCAGAATACCGTTCCATGGCGGCTGCCGCAGCCGATCTCATTTGGACCAGACGTCTATGTGAAGATTTTCAGATCAACCTCTCTTCCACTGAGCTCTTTTGTGACAACATCTCTGCCATGTCAATAGCCTGCAATCCCATTTTTCATGCTCGAACAAAGCATATCGAGGTGGATCATCACTTCATCCGGGACTGCATTCAATCCAACCAGATAACGGTTCGTCACATCTCCACCACCGATCAACCAGCGGACATCTTCACCAAGTCTTTATCATCCGCTCGTCTTTCCGACTTACGCACCAAGCTTCTTGTTCTACCGACCATCAGCTTGCGGGAGGGTGACATGGTTACTGCATCTTCCACTAAACCCAAATCATTAACACGAGCTGGAGCAGAGCCCATCGAC